TACAATGTAATGGTAAGTCAGACGATGCAGTGACTATTGTGCTCCATCACTACACCGACCAACAATAGACGTATAGGCGAAAATCGATTGGGAGTGAGTGGGAAGCAAGAGAGGAAGGAGAAGAAGAGAGTGAAAAACCAAACGGGAGATCAGCCGCAAGAGAAAACGCGGACTAGGAGCTCTTGTCAAAAATCTTTCTAATGCTTCACATGCCCGTCGAGAAACCAAAGAAAATTGCACTCTGCAGCAAACAGAAAGGGCATACAGCCGTTCCAGGCAGGGCACATCGGCACTTGCCGAAAATTTTTGCCAAATACAAAAAGAAATAACCATATAAATATAGAATACCCCCTCTCATTGGTTCCATTGTTCAATCTGCTTTCCCGAATTATATACAAGCCAGTTAAGTAAACGTGTGAACCACATTTTCCCCGACTTTCGCCGTAGGGTGAAGCGGGGGAGAGCGATTTATGAAAAAAGATGAAGTTTCCGCCGTTGATCAATCCCTTTGTGGGATGCGACACCAGGGCACATCATTGGCGGGGATTTTAGTCGACTCTATACGACCCCCCCCCTTTTTGGGAGTTGGTACGACCCCCCAGCCCTCTGTCCTTCCTCATCGAATCGAGCCGTCGAGCGGAGAGGGGGGGGGGAATTAATAGCACATGTGAAACAGGAAAAGCCGCGAGACAATACGACTCCCCCTATAACCAGATTTTTCCCCCAACTTCTGCCCTTTATTCCAAAAGTTTCTGAAAACTTCCTCTTTTATACGCAGCAATTTTGCTGCTCGGCGGGTGGGGCGTACAGTATCGCTTGAAAACAGAAAATCACAAATTCACCGCCACTCCTACAACGCACAGCGAAAACTACCGACCCTCCTACAAAATGATCAAATACGAACCGCCCCCCCCATTTAGCAACGTCCATCACGCGAGAAAATAAGCTATCAAAATAAATTTTTCTCAGCCCAAATATGAACCCCTCCTGGCGAACCAGATACGAATTCCCCCTATTGGGGATCTCCAACAACGATGTGCCCTGTGTGACACGCATTCCACTTCCTTCAGAATCGTAGTGGCTGCTGCGATGTGACCCATTCAATGAGTTGCGAGGGTCAGCTACAGGACAGTGTTTAATCCTCACAGACGAGTATGGAACCAATTTACAGTCCGGAGGGTTGAAGGCTTGGTTGGCCTTGGCATGAGCCGATCCAGGAATTGACGCTCTATTTGTCGCTACACCACATCCGCCTCTTAATGCGATAAACGGGAAGAAACAACAGTCAGAAGTTTTTGGGGTGGCAAAATGCGATACAGTTCCTCTGTATCTAAATATGATACCTATTAAGTTTACACAACGATGATGCGCCCTGCTGCCAAAACAAGCGTAGCCGCGCTGCTTTTACCGTTATATGGCAGTCATCTAGCTATGTCAAAAATAGTCCCCGCACTCAACCAATTCTTAGGCATTGTTCCTTGTTCAAATAGGATGGTCCGCAGCCTCTAAGGCTGTTCCTCTTACGCGACGCCACAGTAAGTAAAAGCACTGCGGCCCTTATAAGTGGCAGTTTCGCCGTCTCCATAGTGGCCCCGCCCACCGAACTTAGGGGCTTTACTAGTATTGGGTGACGCGAAGAAACGAGTAGTGACCCAGAGGCTGCAGGATATCGCTTTGGTGCCAGAAAACGAGCAGGCCCAGAGAACTCATCCAGTGGGGCTGCCCCTTTACTCAGGGGGCGTTTTCCACGATTTTTTTTCCACCCTTTTCTTCTCTGCAGAGCCACTTAGAGACTAAACTGATGTCGTTTGGACGTGCTCTGCTTTGGCTGCGAGCTCATTTATGAAATGCCTAGATCACCAAATCCGCTGAAAACTTGTATACAGGGTAATTTAACATCCTGATCACGAATATGACATTCATTCTTGGCGCTGGCGCTAATGGAGGACACTACGATTATCTGCGCTCTGCTAAGGCTGAGCTCAGAAGATAATCGTAGTGTCCTCCATCAGCGCCAGCCCCAAGGATGAGTGTCATATTCGTAAAGTTAAATTACCCCTAACAAGATCTCAGCGGATTTGGTGAACTGGGCACTTCATAAGTGAGCTAATAGCCAAAACTGAGCGCGTCCAAACGCCATTAGGCTAGCGACTATAGCTCTGTAACCGAACACCACTATACGTAATACGCAATTGCGTGGTTTGTCTCCAACTATACGGCTAGGAAAGGATGTATACGTTTCTTCATTTGAATGCATTATAACACCAATGCGCAATAAAATAACCAATGATCAGTAAACAGGAAGGTCACAGGAAGTGTTTGTGCAAACGGAGAAAAAAAGATAAAAGAGCAGGCACACAATTCGATACGCTTGCAAATGTTGGGTGAGCTCACAAAAACCACTTCGGGGAAAAAAGTGTGGAAAAGATCACAGCAGAATTCCAACGAAAATTTGATTCGGTTTTAGAGGAGTTTATGAGTATCTAGCTTACGGAACGGCTTGTGTTGAATCAATAGGATGCACATACTGGTTCGAGAGAGCTTCTTTTACCATAATCGATTCTACAGTTAGATTTGGGCAGAACGTCACAACGACAACGTAATAATATGCGGAAAAACATCTAGAACAGCAGGAAGGGATCAAAAGCTTTAGGCGATAATATTTAAGCATCCTCACAAATAGCTTGGGCGACTATGGTAAGTGAAAGCTACTGCTGGTTTAACAGCCGTAATAACCAGTACAGTAGCATAACCGCATAACATCGACCTATCGCCTAGCAAGAGAAGGAAACTCCCACATAAATGTCTGGGCAGTCTTAACACATTGACGAAACTTGCCTTCTCGAGAGAACACGGTGTGGGACAACGGCATCGCTTGCAGCCGCTATGAGTCATTTGGCTCGTTTTGTCGTCAATATTGTAACAAAATCATTCCAATATTGTGAAAGACACGCGCCCTGTCCAAAAATGGTACCCAAGACTACTTCAAAACTAGTAACAAGATGGTAAATAATACAAGAGTCAAGAAAAAGAAAACCTAAAACCGAACCGAAATGCTCCACGTAGAACATCAAGCTCAAGCGCGCTCGCACGCGCATAAGCTACGAAAGGGCGTGGTTTGACTAGTTGGTACGAGCGGAACAACCACACCATCGATTACCAAAGATGGGCGGAGCCGTGGACGGTAGGCGGGGCTTGCCTTGTCGTGGACGGGTCACGCTTTCTTCATGTAACTGTAGTACTACAACATTTATGAGTATAAGTTTATCACGCGTGCAGAACGCATATACAGAATAACCAGAACAACACTATGTTTACAAGTTTCAATCCCTGTATACATGGCCCCTTTTAAATAGGATAGGTAGTATTTCAGCTCGGTATGCTTCCTGGCCCTTGAAAACGACGAGATTGTCGAAAGCTCAGGCGCAATAAAATATTCCACCGTACAAACCTGTTCGACATAAGAAATAAGTTACCAATACAACAAGTGCCAATATTAATTGGAACCTCTATGTCTGTGGACAGAACAACAATGTCCA